GTATCACTCAGTGCTGTCCTATGATATACAGCGTGTATCACTCAGTGCTGTCCTATGATATACAGTGTATCACTCAGTGCTGTCCTATGATATACAGTGTGTATCACTCAGTGCTGTCCTATGATATACAGTGTGTATCGCTCAGTGCTGTCCTATGATATCCATCGTGTAACGCTCAGTGCTGTCCTATGATATACAGTGTATCACTCAGTGCTGTCCTATGATATCCATCGTGTATCACTCAGTGCTGTCCTATGATATACAGTGTGTATCACTCAGTGCTATCCTATGATATACAGTGTGTATCACTCAGTGCTGTCCTATGATATACAGTGTGTATCACTCAGTGCTGTCCTATGATATACAGTGTGTATCACTCAGTGCTGTCCTATGATATACAGTGTGTATCACTCAGTGCTGTCCTATGATATACAGTGTGTATCACTCAGTGCTGTCCTATTATATCCATCGCATCACCGCGGCTGTCGGGTGATATCCAGCGCATCACCTTGTAGTGCTATCCTATGATATACAGTGTATCACCTTTCAGTGCCGTCCCATGATATCCAGTGTGTATCACCAGTGCTGTCCTATGACATACATGCGTGTATCACCTTGTGCGCTGTCCCATGATATACAAGTGTGTATCACCCAGTGCTGTCCCAGCGATATACAGTGCGTAATGGCCTTCAGTGCTCTCCTATGATATACAGTGTGTCACTCAGTGCTGTCCTATGATATACAGTGTGTATCACTCAGTGCTGTCCCATGATATACAGTGTATCACTCAGTGCTGTCCTATGATATACAGTGTGTATCACTCAGTGCTGCCCTATGATATACAGTGTGTATCACTCAGTGCTGTCCTATGATATACAGTGTGTATCTCTCAGTGCTGACCTATGATATACAGTGTGTGTCACTCAGTGCTGTCCTATGATATACAGTGTGTATCACTCAGTGCTGTCCTATGATATACAGTGTGTATCTCTCAGTGCTGACCTATGATATACAGTGTGTGTCACTCAGTGCTGTCCTATGATATACAGTGTGTATCACTCAGTACTGTCCTATGATATACAGTGTGTATCACTCAATGTTGTCCTATGATATACAGTGTGTCACTCAGTGCTCTCCTATGATATACAGTGTGTATCACTCAGTGCTGTCCTATGATATACAGTGTACTTCACTCAGTGCCGTCCTAGCGATATACAGTGTGTATAACTCAGTGCTGTCCTATGATATACAGTGTGTATCACTCAGTGCTGTCCTATGATATACAGTGTGTATCGCTCAGTGCTGTCCTATGATATACAGTGTGTATCACTCAGTGCTGTCCAATTATATACAGTGTGTATCACTCAGTGCTGTCCTATGATATACAGTGTGTATCACTCAGTGCTGTCCTATGATATACAGCATGTATCACTCAGTGCTGTCCTATGATATACAGTGTGTATCACTCAGTGCTGTCCTATGATATCCATCGTGTATCACTCCGTGCTGTCGTGTGATATCCAGCGTGTATCACTCAGTGCTATCCTATGATATACAGTGTGTATCACTCAGTGCTGTCCTATGATATACAGTGTGTATCACTCAGTGCTGTCCTATGATATACAGTGTATCACTCAGTGCTGTCCTATGATATACAGTGTGTAAACAATACTGGTAATTCTCACGTTGCAAAACTTTAAAATCAACACCTTGGTGACAATTTTAAAGTATGTACCCATTTCTTAGTTTTAAGGGTGAAAATGTTACAGGACACACAATTACTGCAATAATGGCTGTTCGGCTTAGAAGGATTTCAGGAACCAAGATCCCGATTTGTAGACCAAATCAGAAGAACAAAAAAATGAGCATAATTAGACCAATCAGTGTGCTGCAAATTATATATTCATAATATAACTTCATTATCATATGTATTTTGCAGTACTTTGACAGGACTAGTTTTCTGCTCATTGGTTCACAGATCAAGTGAAAAAAAAACTGACCACTTGAGGGAAAAACTATAGGAGCAGTTTAACATTTTTATTTATATATTATATATTTCTGAAAAATATAAACTGTAAATAGAATTTTTCCTAATTTTTACCTATCTCCTGCTGCCCCCGTTGATCACCAGACAAAAAAACAAAACAAACCAGACACCAGGGATGCTCAGTTCCTCGACCATCTGGCACACAAGATTACATTCATAGAATGCACCAACCCTCCGAAGGCTAGACCGGGCCTTCTAATGCCAGCCCTTCTCTAACGTCTAGCCTTGGAGCCAACTAGTCATGATATCCTGGTCTATAGTCCGTATCGGAAAAGGCGAATGATCAGTGGTCCGTCTGAGAAAAGAGTAAGGAGTAATTCCCTTGGTTCTGCTTAGCTTCAGGTCAGGTCTGGTGGTGGAGAAGTCAGATGTTGAGGAGAGTCAGACACTGTAGGCGATTCTTGTGTAAAAAGTGGCAGATGCTAACCCCCCTTTACATTTCTTTCTCATCGTCTCCTCTGACGGTCTATATTGTTTCCTTTCTTCCTCTCTCTCCCACACCTTTGTTACTCTGAGAATTTGTTAATTTGCCTTTGGCATCATTGTTATTGAATACGTTGTTTAGACTTTGTGAAAATTTCAATAAAACATTAACTGAAAAAAAAAAAGAAGAAAAGCAATATTAATGGGCTTTACAATCAGGAAACAGTCAAGAAAGCAGCCCCAGGTGTAAGGTAACAAATGCATTTTCCAATAATTTCTCATGGATCTCACAGCTATTATAGCGTTTATGGCAGAGATGTAACTATCCCCTCTACTACCTCTCAATGCCTCCTGGACCTCATATAGCGTGTGCTTTACAACCTAGGAACAGCTTCTATCCCATCATTGTTTTACTGCAAGTAATTCAGTGATACCGTCATGGATTTATTAGCATTCACAGAGGCACACTAACAGATGCTCCCCGATGCTGGATTTATTAGCATTCACAGAGGCACACTAACAGATGCTCCCCGATGCTGGTACAATCACCAATAACCAATTATCAGTGAAGTCGCTGTTTAGACAATCATTATTCTTTTGTGTTTATTTTATTCGTGAATTGGACTAATACAAACATTCCACCATCAATTCAATTTTTAGCTACGGATTAATTTGTTTATTCTTTCATAGAGATTACTTACTTTTACAGGTCACCCCTGAAGTTTTGGTTTTGTGCCCATATTAATCCCTCCTTAGCCATGTTTCTGTCCTTCCACCCTCAATCATGCACACTCCCCCCTGCCACCCCAGCCATGACCAAATCTACTCTACCCTCTTCTTCCTCCAATTTAATGTTTTTAATTTCTTACTTCCCTTATGATCATACCTTTACTTTCCTCCTTCCCCAGTCATGTCTTTACTTT